GTTAGCCACTGTATAGCACATCATTAGTTTTTGATGTAGTGTTCAACGACTCATTAGTTGCATATAACACCCAGTTCTCATCACAACATGTACCCTCCTCTATACCCATCACCCTAGTATCCAATCCCTCACACCCCCTCCCCTCTGAAACCCGCAGTTTTTTCCTGAGGTCCACAATCTGTCATGGTTCCTCTACCTCTCTAATTTCTCCTGCATTTAAAAAATGTGAATAGTAATAGATGTGGGTCATATCTAAATGTGCAAAAATAACAATTTATTTTGAGACTTAGAAAAGTGAATGCACAGGAAATCCTTCCCACAACATTTGGCAAGCAGCAGGCACTCCTATGTGATAACCATCTTATGTTTAATATTATAAAAAATAACTTCCTCCACCAGCCCAAATATTGGACATAGCTTTTGGTAAGAATTTATACCAATGGAAGGACTGTTCCCTGGATCCTCAGATATATGCTTCTCAAACCCCAGCATGGGAGTCAGACAGACTTCTACATGACTCCTTCATTCAAGTGTTGTATGACCTCCACCAACATTTCTCATCTACATATTAGGAGTACCTGTATCCTGGCCTCTCCTTGTGCCATCTTGGTATAACATTGTGCCTACAACACATCCCCCAGATAGACTCAAGGAAACACAGGAATGAGAACTTGCTGTTGTACTGAAGGTAATGTGGGTGAAAAGGATGACTTCCTTAAGATGTCAGATAACATTGGGGGAAATCGGAGGGGGAGATGAACCACAAAAGACTATGGACTCTGAGAAAGCAAACTGAGGGTTTTAGAGGGGAGGGGGTTGGGGGGATGGGTTAGCTTGGTGGTGGGTATTAAAGAGGGCACGTACTGTATGGAGCACTGGGTGCTGTACATAAACAATGATTCTTGGAACACTGCATCAAAAACTAATGATGTCTGTACTGTCATTTGCAAATATCTTCTCCCATTCCGTGGGTTGCCTCTTTGTTTTGTTGACTGTTTCCTTTGCTGTGCAGAAGCTTTTGATCTTGATGAAGTCCCATAAGTTCATTTTCGCTTTTGTTTCCTTTGCCTTTGGAGACATATCTTGAAAGAAGTTGCTGTGGCTGATATCAAAGAGATTACTGCCTATGTTCTCCTCTAGGATTCTGATGGATTCCTGTCTCACGTTGAGGTCTTTCATCCATTTTGAGTTTATCTTTGTGTACAGTGTAAGAGAATGGTTGAGTTTCATTCTTCTACATATAGCTGTCCAGTTTAACCAGCACCATTTATTGAAGAGACTGTCTTTTTTCCACTGTATATTTTTTCCTGCTTTGTCAAAGATTATTTGACCATAGAGTTGAGGGTCCATATCTGGGCTCTCTACTCTGTTCCACTGGTCTATGTATCTGTTTTTATGCCAGTACCATGCTGTCTTGATGATCACAGCTTTGTAGTAAAGCTTGAAATCAGGTAACATGATGCCCCCAGTTTTGTTTTTCTTGTTCAACATTTCCTTAGCAATTCGGGATCTCTTCTTATTTATTTATTTATTTATTAATTAAAACATTTTATTTAAAAATTTATTTTCAGCATAACAGTATTCATTGTTTTTGCACCACACTCAGTGCTCCATGCAATCTTTGCCCTCTCCAATACCCACCACCTGGTTCCCCCAACCTCCCACCCTTCCCCCTTCAAAACCCTCAGATTGTTTTTTAGAGTCCATAGTCTCTCATGGTTCACCTCCCTTTCCAATTTCCCTCAACTCCCTTCTCCTCTCCATCTCCCCTTGTCCTCCATGCTATTTGTTAGGCTGCACAAATAAGTGAAACCATATGATAATTGACTCTCTCTGCTTGACTTATTTCACTCAGCATAATCTCTTCCAGTCCCGTCCATGTCGCTACAAAAGTTGGGTATTCATCCTTTCTGATGGAGGCATAATACTCCATAGTGTATATGGACCACATCTTCCTTATCCATTCGTCCGTTGAAGGGCATCTTGGTTCTTTCCAC